TAGAATTGCATCTTTTTCAGGTGAAAGAGCTGAATCATTATCTGGAAGCTGAGAAATCTTGTAGGACTGATCTAGAGATGTACGTAGCTGTTTTGAATACTCAGAAATCCGTTTTACAGGAAGATGCTGAGAAACTTCGGAAAGAATTGCATGAAGGTAAATATACACACACACACACACACACACACTTTATATGTTTAATCACAGTCTCTAAGAGAACTATGTAAGTAAAATTGGTATTAATTAGTAACAATAACAAATTCCAAAATGCCAGTCCGACACGTTAGTTCACAGTTGGTTTGAAAAGGTATTTGGATTGTTGGTGGCTTCTTGTTTCTCCAGGACCCCAGTAAGAACTCACAGGTCATAAGCTCTGGGCAGACAGGGAATAGGGAATTTCTGCTTAAACTGCTTTGCCCCAGACCTATTTTGACGGAAATGAATTGGCAAAAGTGAAAATGGGACAGAGAGGGCAGGTGGTATATTCTGGTGTTCTTAACTAACACCCCTGTTTATAAGAGATAATTTTTATTTTGCTAACCTAGTAGCAGAGTGATGCAGAAATTGACTCTGTTTTTCAGGGTAGGAGAAATAGACTTATCCTTTCCCATTAAGATATACATTTGTTTTTAATTCTTCTAATGAATCTTATATACCTGAGATTCTAAAACTTTTTGTGTCACAGACTCCTTTGGCAGTCTTGTGAAGCCATCTCAAAATCATGTTTTTAATACATAAAATACATAGAATTATACAAGAAATTAATTATATTATAAAACAGGAAAATATAAATAATTGCAAACTTATGGTATAGTAATAAATGTACTGTTTCATCAATACATTAAATAACAAGGTCCAGTACCAGGTCTAATAACTACTGTTGGTGAACAGTTGATGGGTATTGTTATACTTACTGTGGTTTGTTGCCTGTATTTGATAATTGAAGGACATGCTAAATTTCAGTTAGAGGTTAGTGAAAATAAAGATCTAAATTTTTATCTAAATGTAAATAGAATTCTTGAAATTTTATACTTGTTGTAGCTTATACTAGTAACATGTTTTAATGTGAAAATTTAGGACTGTGGTCATGGAAAATATAGTTCTTTCACAAAAAATTCATGGAAATTGTGTTTTTTGTCCCAAAATAGTGGGGATAGTGAAATTATATAAACTTACAGAATTATTTTATAAAATGTTATTAAAGTAATCCAAAATTTGAGTCTTTGGCTTTCAGAAAATGCTTTTCAAAAGTGCTACTGCAGTAAAAAAGATACCCAAACTCTGAAAGAGTGTCCAAAAGAAATAGGAATTTCTGTTTAACCTATATGTCCCAACCCCTTCCAGCAATAGTGCAAGACTACCAAACCTCCCTAATATGCCTGGGAAAGTGTCTGAGAAGTTTCACTAAAATGAGTAAAGGGATAGAGTAATTTCTACTGAAATAGTCATACCGAAAAACAGTATTTACATGAAAAGAAGATAGTTAAAAATTAAGCAGCAATTTTGTGTCTGGCTTTTCCGAAGGGTTTTAAATTTTACCTTCTATAGAGTTAAGTTTTACAGCAGTGTGGAGGGTAGGATAGAGAGGTCCAGACAAGTGGCAGGAAGAGTAACGGAGGGACCCCTGTTGTAGTTGTCTGTGTCCTAAATCTAAGGCAGAAGGCAGACGATGGCTGTCATATTGAACAGGAGGTAGCCTTATTAGAGGCCTCCGTCACAGTTGAATGTGTTGGGTGAGGAGAAGTCAGAAGTATGAGTTGTCTTTCAGGTTTCTGACTTGGATGACTAGGTGGATGGGCTGATAGATGATACCATCTCCTCCTTTTTCTGAAGATGGCTGAGCTGAACAGAAGCATTTACAAAGATTCTTTGACTTATCCTGAGAGGTCAAACTAAATGGGCTCAAGAAGGATTCCTGGATAACAAGTTTATTCAGAATGTATTAAATTAGGAGTGGTAACTGTGCATTTGGCTGTAAGAGCAATGTTTCCCAAAATGTATTCCCTAGAACATGTTATGTGAGTGGCATTGTGGAAAGGACTTTTTGATAAAATAAATTTGGGACATATTGTATTATGTTTTACCTTATAAGGGAACATAGATATACTTAAGACCTTGAGTTCAAAGTCCTGCAATAAAGAAATTTTCATTAAAAAAAGAAAAAGCTTTTAACCTAAGTTTATGAAACTTAATGAGTTCAGAAATCTTTTTTTTCACATGTTCCTCTTCCTAGGAACATACTCTGAGAGACTCTGCTTAGAGGGGTGGTGTGGGGACAGCTGCCTTGATCTATGGCGATTTGCCCTGGGTTCTTGTCGGAGACAGAATCCTAGACTGGAAGACATTTGGCCAGACATGGCTTGGTAGGCCTATGTTAAAGAAATTGCCTACCATTAAAATTCAGTGTTTTTAATTGGGGGATTCCTAAACAGTTTGCCACCTCTTGGAGCAAGAGCGACAACAACACAACCAGTTGAAACACACGTGGCAGAAGGCCAATGACCAGTTCCTGGAGTCTCAACGTTTGCTGATGAGGGACATGCAGCGAATGGAAATTGTGCTAACTTCTGAACAGCTCCGACAAGTTGAAGAACTGAAGAAGAAAGATCAGGTGAATAGTGGTTTTGTAAGATTTGTTTGCTTGGTCAATAAACCAGCCCACCCTGACGTGTGATCATATATTACTTTATGTATAATACATATTGACTTAAGCCTGAAACAAGGTTGATGTATGCCGTTTCAGAAAACATTATAGTTGTATTTGAGGGATTTTGTTTTTCAACTTTAGAAATGGCCTCGTCTGGGTGGGTGGGAAGGAATGATTTAGAAATGACCCTCTTCAGTCTGCCGGTGCAGCAGTGCACATTTCTGAGAATATCTTTCTCTACAGTTCTGTCTGCGTCTCAGACAGAAGTCTGAGAAGTCTAAATCCTCAACTTGAGGATTTAGGTTCTAAAGTACAGATCTCATTGTGTTAATACAGGCCATGTCTTCCACTCTAGTACTCTTGCCTGGAAAATCCCATGGACGGAGGAGCCTGGTAGGCTACAGTCCCTGGGGTCTCTTGAGAGTCGGACACGACTGAGTGACTTCACGTTCACTTTTCACTTTCATTCATGCATTGGAGAAGGAAATGGCAACCCACTCCAGTGTTCTTGCCTGGAGAATCCCGGAGACAGAGGAGCCTGGTGGGCTGCCATCTATGGGGTCGCACAGAGTTGGACATGACTGAAGTGACTTTGCAGCAGCAGCAGCAGGCCATGTCTTTTGTGATATTGCTCTAAAAGTCTTATTAGAAGGTAATGGGTGGAGATGCAGAGGCTGAGTGGTGTGAAAAGACAGGTGTCTAGAGTGCTACATACTCAGCATCCTGTTTTCTCATCTTAAAAAATTATTTAAATTATATGAGTAATACATAAATACATTCTCATGTTAAAATACTTTGTTTTAAATACAAAGTGAAAAAATAAAGTGATAAAATTAAACTCTCCCTTGATATCTCACACACTTCCCTTCCCAGAAATAGCCACTTTTTAAATCAGGAATAATCCATTTGGAAGGTAGTATTCAAGACCATTTCTTTGTGTTTATAAGTGTATGTTTAAGTTTGTTTGTTTTTTCCCCATACAGCTGGAATCATGGTGTAAGTATTTATTCTGTAGCTTATTTTTCTCATAAGTATCATCTTGGATATATTTTTCAGAGGGCTATCCTATCCTTGTTAACTGGTACCAAGGATGTATTGTAATTGATTTAATCCTTCTCTTTGTAGTGGGGATCGTTTCTTTCTTTTCTTTGAAATTGTTTTACAGCTAATATACTATGTTGTATGTAAGTTGTATATACAAATACTTCCTTAGGATAGCTTTCTTAGGAAAACACTTTCTTAGGATAGCTATTCAGAAGTTTTCTAGGTATTGTAAGAAATATTTCAAGTTATCTTGTATAGTTTAGGTTAGATTTTGTTTTTCAGAAGTTTCTTTTTACATTTCTTTTCTATCTCTTGTCTGGCTCATTCACCTTGTATGTAGACACAGTCAACTTGAGGATTTAGATTCTAAAGTACAGATCTAATCATGCTCTTTCTGCTTCCCATTCAGTTCAGTTCAGTTCAGTCATTCAGTTGTGTCCGACTCTTTGAGACCCCATGAATTGCAGCACGCCAGGCCTCCCTGTCCATCACCAACTCCCGGAGTTTACTCAAAATCATGTCCATCGAGTTGGTGGTGCTTCCCGTTAGAACAGTCTAAACTCCAGAACTGGTCATTTAAGGCCTGCGTGTCAGCATTGTGCCAAGGCTTTGTATGTAAACTTTTTATCTCATGTGGTTTTCAAAACAGATACACAGAAGAAAACTTTCTACATGAGACAGGGACTAATGGCATATCTGAGGGTTGACCAGTCTCTGGTTCTAGAGTCTAAGCACTTAATCATCCTCCCTTTCTCCCTGTACCTTGCTACTCATATACCTGCTCTTCCATGCCTCTGCCCCTTTTATGTAGTTTTTTGCCTGAGATCCTTGCTTGTCTCAAAATTGGCAGACTCATTTTACCAATTCTTCAAGATCCAGCTAAAATGTTACCTTCTTTGGGCCCCCTTTCTGGCTGCCTTAGATGAAATCTTTATTTTGTTCTTCTGTAGAACCTTGTACATACTTGAATAGTAGTCTAATTGTGTGTTTGTCCCTCACCACTAGAGTGTTTGTTGCGGGGGGGTGGGCATTGAGGGTATTTTTCACCTTTATTTAATGAATTATTGTATCAGCTTTAATAATTCATCTGTATTTCATATTTATTTGTACATGTTTCAAATGGATGTGTAATGCCATAACTTTTTTCCGTTTGTTTTCAATAATAACCTGAAGGAACATTCTGTGTTAATTTTGTTTCTTGGATCACTTGAAGAAGAGGAGATGATTTGCTTTCTTTTGTTTGGCTTTTCACATAGTGTACTTTTATATTTGTTTTGAGTGGTTAAAGAACCATTCAGTACACATTACCTGAGTAATATATATTTTTTATTCCTAACTTTTAGGAAGAAGATGAACAGCAAAGGCTTAGTAAGAGAAAGGATCACAAAAAAACAGATGTTGAGGAGGAAGTAAAAATACCAGTAGTGTGTGCTTTAACTCATGAAGACTCTTCAGCTCAGTTATCAAATGAGGAGGTACAGTGACTCTGTAATTAAAATCATTATATAAGCAATATTTCCATTTTTAGCTTCCCATACATCAGTCAGTTACATCGTTCATATGGGAAGTGCGTATCTAGGTGAAAATTAGATAAAATGACTTTTATATTCAATTATTTTTAAAGTATTATGCATGTGTGTGTGTGTTAGTATTATAGGTAGTTCTGTTTGAAACATGCAGGTTCTCTCATGGTCTGTGAAACAGTTAGATGTTCTTTTTTCTAGTGGTTCCAAAATTAAAACATTAGAAGAAAATTTAAATAATATCTGCAAAATCTTTTCTGATGTGAATATTTCTGATACTTTGAGCTTTTGTTTAAAGGGAAAGAAATTATCTAAAGTATTGAAACACTTAATTCTTTATGGCATGTATTTGAGTGTTAACAAGTATTAGGTATTAAGCCCTGAGGACAGTAGCTGGGTTTGGAACACTGTGATGGGGTAGGGTAGGACATTTTTGGTGTTAGGAATGAGTCCAGTAGAGAGACCTGGAGGTGGAAAGTGTAAGGCGGTGTTCCTATGGCCTCATCACCTCTCACCCATGTGTGGCAAGTGCCTCCTCATTACGTTTCCTGTTTTGATCCTGTCCCACTCCACTGTACCCTCAGCATTACTATCAACTGTTACTATTACTATTTTGCTTAAGTGCAGCTATAGTCAGGCTACTCCCCTACTCAGAACTACCATCAGTCACATTACCTACATAAGTAAGTACAAGGTCCTTACTCAGATAGTCAAGACTTCATAATATGCACTCTGTTTTAACCACATTAGTTATCTTGTTGTGCTGTACTCTCCGCCTTACATGTTGGTTCCTTCACCTGGAATGTTTACCGCCCTCTGCCTTTCTGAGTTCTAGAATCCTTCTATTCATCCTTCAGGACTCCAGCTAATACCTCCTTTCAGGAAAGGAAATGCTTCTGTTAATTGACTTTAGGGTAAAAAACTAAGGTCCCTAGCTTGCCATATAAGAGCCTTATTTACCATGCTCTCCACTTCATCACAGCAGAGCTTTCTACTAGCTGTCCATGCTCATGTGCATTGTCTGTACTGTCTAGAGTTTCATACTCACTCCCCCACCTCCTTTCCCTGCCTGGTGAACCAGTTTCAGTTAAATTGGATATGGATCTTGTCTCACTTTCAAAGGTGTCATGTTTGTGTTTAGTTTGCAGATTTATGCTGAACCATGTATAGTCTACTTCCTGGTGGCTCATATTTCCATGTTTATGGATTATTTGACATTGAAAAAATGCTTTAAAAATATCCTAGTGGACACTGAAAAGTATTATGTAATTGTTTTTGTACATTCTCTGTGTTGGCTCATACACTGGGAACCTTGGCCTGATTTTGCTTTGTGCTTTTTTAAATAGTTAGACTTCCAAGAGAATGTCTCAGTTTTTGGGTACTGCCAAATATTATGTGGTTTCTGCATCATGTAGTTCTGTGTCCAGGAATGTTTGGGAAAGTTTCAGACTTTTAAAAAAATATTTTAGCAGGAAAACAGGAAAGGGAAATTTGTTGTGATTTTCAGTGAAGCACTTAAAATTTTTTGATTCCGTCTTAACAGATTTATGCTAAATGTTGTTTATAACATTATTTTCTGACATTGAAATCTCTTATAGACTTTCAGATCTGATGTTTTGCAGTTTGAATGTTGAATGTATACTTGTTTTGTATTGAGAGTCAGTGACAGATTACCTTAGCCTGTTGATTTAAAGTTAATATGGACTGCTTTGGAGACTTAAATAATAATATATTGCTAAAGACACTTAGAATGCGTAGGACCCATATCTTCTTTGATCTAATGCTTAGAATGTGCTTTTATCACTACAAAAGTAATATATACTCATTATGGACAATTTGGCAAGTAGAGAGTCACACCTTATAAAAATAACTGATAATTCTACTACTCAGAGATACCACCGCTAACATTTTGGAATGTACCTCTCCTTTCTCTCTTTTTCCATTTCCAAAGGTAACATATGTGTTTCTGTTTGTCCCTTTTAAACATAATACAGATTGTAACTACATAATATTTTATGTACATTTCCTACTTAAATCTATTTATAAAGGTTTTGGTACATCAGTAATTGTTTCCCTTGAAAATGTTATTTAATTACTAACAGTATTTCAGCATGTAAGTTAATTCCTTAATCTCCTACAGATCAGTTTGTGCCCAGGTTTTAATTTATAAAGGTAACTGAGGGACAACATGGAGAGATAAATGCCACTGAACGAAAATTTCAACGTTACAGCTGCCTAGACGTGAGCGTCGTGGCACACCATGCAGAGCCACATGATGGAAGCCCCAGCAGAGCTGGTCATGGAGCAAGAGCAGTAGCAGGGGGAAAGCATGGGCCGCAGCCGTTGCTGGCATTTCCGAGGGAAAAGCAGGATAGATGGCATAGGACTGGCTAGTTGGAATAACTCCAGTGGGCTTTGGGGCAGAGAATCTGTCTTCAGTATTTTGGTACCTAGCCCTGGGTTGATTTAGGGCAGGGGAAATACTGGCTTGGTGGATAAGAGTTAGATAAAGGAGTTGGTTAGGGGTGTTGACTTGGGATTGGTTGATTTGGGTGTGAAAGACATAGTGATAAGCAAGTTGTTTATTATTTCTGGGAGTTAGCTAAATTGGAAAAGGCAGTCACTCCTCAGCCAGCAAGGCCTTCAAAAGGTCAAAAACATAAAATATAGAAAATAAACACAAGTTGTTTCATTTTTTGCTAGTAAAAAAATATTTCACTATGAGTAATGCTATTATATCTAATTCCTTATTGTATAAAAATCATGGGTTTATCTGATTACTTCCTTAATGTAAGTTCTTGGGAAAAGAACTGCTGAGTTTAAGAGCATAAACAAACATATTGTTGAATCATCTTTCAGAAACACTGTAACAGTTTACATTCCCCTACAAGTCCATATTCCTTATAAGTAAGTACTGCTCTGCCCACCCTGGGCTGGTGTTTCTTAAAAGGCCCTCATAGCTTTTTGCCCGATCCCTTTCACTCTTCAGAGTCACAGCAGCATTGTGTATGATAATGTTAGATGTCATGTCTTCTATAAGCTGGCAGAATGCTTTCTCATCCCAGTTTCTATGAGGCTGCTTATCTGGGACCTTTGCCATAGCTCGTTCAGTATATGTTAGATTTGTGTTCCTTGGCCATCTGAATTTCACAGATTAAAAAACCTTAAAAAAAAAAAAACTTTAGAAAGAAAGAACTGAGGAATTAATATAAAAGTTGTCAACTTTGTATTATGCCGGGTAAGGCATTTTTAAAACATTAAAAGAAATCTGTATTTTAGTTTTTTATAGTTCATAAAAGGAAAGACATTAACAGCAAAAGGTAGAAAGGATATTATCTGAAAAGCCAGTTATGTAAATTGAATAAGTTTCATTTTTAGAAAAACTTGCAACATTTTCCTTGTTTTCTAATTTTCCCACCAGTTGTGCTAGAATGGTATTGCTGTGCTTTTTGACTTTGGGAGTGTGCTGCACCACATAAAATGCAGAGTTCCAAAGAATAGCACGGAGATAAGAAAGCCTTCCTTAGCGATCAATGCAAAGACATAGAGGAAAACAATAGAATGGGAAAGACTAGAGATCTCTTCAAGAAAATTAGAGATACCAAGGGAGCATTTCATGCAAGAATGGGCTCAATAAAGGGCAGAAATGGTATGGACCTAACAGAAGCAGAAGATATTAAGAAGAGATGGCAAGAATACACAGAAGAATGGTACAAAAGAAATCTTCATGACCCAGATAATCACAATGGTGTGATCACTCACCTAGAGCCAGACATCCTGGAATGTGAAGTCAAGTGGGCCTTAGAAAGCATCACTATGAACAAAGGTAGTGGAGGTGATGGAATTCCAGTTGAGCTATTTCAAATCCTAAAAGATGATGCTGTGAAAGTGCTGCACTCAATATGCCAGCAAATTTGGAAAACTCAGCAGTGGCCACAGGACTGGAAAAGGTCAGTTTTCATTCCAATCCCAAAGAAAGGCAATGCCAAAGAATGCTCAAACTACCGCACAATTGCACTCATCTCACACGCTAGTAAAGTAATGCTCAAAATTCTCCAAGCCAGGCTTCAGCAATACGTGAACCGTGAACTTCCAGATGTTCAAGCTGGTTTTAGAAAAGGCAGAGGAACCAGAGATCAAATTGCCAACATCCGCTGGATCATCGAAAAAGCAAGAGAGTTCCAGAAAAACATCTATTTCTGCTTTATTGACTATGCCAAAGCCTTTGACTGTGTGGATCACAATAAACTGTGGAAAATTCTGAAAGAGATGGGAATACCAGACCACCTGACCTGCCTCTTGAGAAACCTGTATGCAGGTCAGGAAGCAACAGTTAGAACTGGACATGGAACAACAGACTGGTTCCAAATAGGAAAAGGAGTACGTCAAGGCTGTATATTGTCACCCTGCTTATTTAACTTATATGCAGAGTACATCATGAGAAACGCTGGGCTGGAAGAAGCACAAGCTGGAATCAAGATTGCCGGGAGAAATATCAATAACCTCAGATATGCAGATGACACCACCCTTATGGCAGAGAGTGAAGAGGAACTGAAAAGCCTCTTGATGAAAGTGAAAAGAGGAGAGTGAAAAAGTTGACTTAAAGCTCAACATTCAGAAAACAAAGATCATGGCATCTGGTCCCATCACTTCATGGCAAATAGATGGGGAAACAGTGGCTGACTTAATTTTTTTGTGCTCCAAAATTACTGCAGATGGTGATTGCAGCCATGAAATTAAAAGACACTTACTCCTTGGAAGGAAAGTTATGACCGACCTAGATAGTGTATTAAAAAGCAGAGACATTACTTTGTCAACAAAGGTCCATCTAGTCAAGGCTATGGTTTTTCCAGTGGTCATGCATGGATATGAGAGTAGGACTATAAAGAAAGCTGAGCACAGAAGACTTGATGCTTTTGAACTGTGGTGTTGGAGAAGACTCTTGAGAGTCCTTTAGACTGCAAGGAGATCTAACCAGTCCATCCTAAAGGAGATCAGTCCTGGGTTTTCATTGGAAGGACTGATGTGGAAGCTGAAAACTCCAATACTTTGGCCACCTGATGCAAAGAGCTGATTTATTTGAAAAGACCCTGATGCTGGGAAATATTGAGGGCAGTAGGAGAGGGGGACGACAGAGGACGAGATGGTTGGATGGCATCACCGACTCAATGGACATGGGTTTGGGTGAACTCTGGGAGTTGGTGATGGACGGGGAGGTCTGGTGTGCTGCAGTTCATGGGGTCGCAAAGAGTCGGACACGACTGAGCGACTGAAATGAACTGCACCACATTAAAAAAATTGAAATGGAATTCACATAAAAATAAACCATTTAAAATGTGCAATTCTGTGACCTTTAGTATATTCACAGTGTAGTGCAGCCATCACCTATCTCATTTCAGAACATTTTCATTGTCTCCAGAAGAGTGCCCCATATATCATTAAGGACTCATTCCCTACTTTATTTTCTCTTTAGCCTCTGGCAGCCACTAATTTGTTTTTGGTCTCTGGATTTACCTATTCTGGATATTTCACTTGGATGGAATCACACAGTGTGTGACCGTTTGTGTCTGGCTTCTTTCACTTGATGGATGCCTTATGTAATGTGCTGATTACATCTTGCTTGAAACTTGGTTTCCAGCGTATAACATTCTCCTTATTTCCTTTCTATTCTGGCTACTCCTTCCTTTGTCCATCTCTCAAATAGACAAAAATTTTCTTTTGGTTTTCTTCTCATCCTGCAGACTCATCCAAGGTGTTCTGATTTGCTGTCATAATTATTACTATATGGTGGTTACGCCCAAATTTCTATCTGAAGATTTCTTTGTCCCTCTGCTG